TAGATGATTTGTTCTTTGCATTCGAAAGAAGGAGAATAAATTCGATAGAGTATAAATTGACATAGGGTCCGATAGGGGATGGAAACTTACCTCTATGCTTTATGCAATTCATGAAGATGTTCATAAAAAGTCATGCATTCTTGTACATTGCATCATCCATAGAAATATAGGCTGGTGGTGTGTAAGAGTAGATTCAATATATATCGAGAGAGTGTATTGGATAATTTAGGAATATTGAATTGGCATTTTGTTCCATCGACTAGTTGAATTTGTGAAATTAGGGTTTTTAATAGTCAATTGGGGATTCAAGTTCTTAATGATTTCATTTCAATTCATTTCAATATAATAGTTCTAAAATTGCATATTTACATTTCAGTTGCGTGTTTATTTCATTAGATTAGTGAAATTTCAAAATTAGGGTTTCCAATTTTGAAATTAGGGTTTTCTTTGCAATTAGGGTTTCAATTTGGGGGTTTCTTCCAAAATTGGGGCTTTTCACATTTAAACCAATTTTTCATTCAATTAGATTCGGTTAAGGTCACATTAGTCTAATTAGAGCTAATTCAATCCTCGTGGGAACGATACTTGGACTCATAATCCATTTTACTACTTGTTAACGAACCGTACACTTGCGGTGGGTTTTAAAATCGAAAAGAAATATTTTGCGAACAACATGGCTACCTTTCGGAATGAAGTAGCCACCCACTTCGGTGTCTGTTAATGAGACATGCGGCAAATTGTACGGTGCATGAGGATGCAGCCGGAAAGCTTCTCTTGCACATGCCTTCAAGTAATTTAATTGGGGAACATCTGATTCTTGAACAAGTCTGTGTTTCCCTACAACGTTTTCTATTCCGTCGATGGCCTTTTGAAGAATATCAGGTTGATTAATCATTTCTGCAAGTGCCCATTCTGCTCCTGCCGGAGGACCATCTACTCCAAATAAGAACTCCTGGAAATAATAAAGACGAGTACATAGTTCAGACTCGTTTTATGCATACATAGAGAAGAAACCCTCATATTTGTAGGAGAAGATTTAAAAGAAGTGCCATGTAAAAAAAAATAAAATTGCCTGCTATGCTAAACACCAAATAGATTGAGGAAACAAAAATAGTAACAGAAATGATCTCACATAGCATTGAGCTTTCATCTCATCTATAGACAGAAGTGGCGCCCCGCTTTCATCCTTAAGGGATATCATAATGTCAAGAAGGTCCTTTGCCTCCTCTTTCTCACCATCTCTCCATTTTTTAACTCTTTCATGTATGATTGGATCATGGTATTTTTCGAAAACACTCATGGAGTTTTTTATGATCTTTTCATGGCCATCAATATCTAGACTTCTCAACCAGGGCACATAATCTGAAATCCAAAATGCATACATGTGGTGGAGCACTGAATGAAGAGCATCAACGTGCTCCTTTTCTTCAAAACCTGGACCACCGTTTTCTGCACCTTCCCCAAAGAATCTTCTGCTAAAAGTCATCTTTCTAATTACGTTTACGCAATAATGTTGAAGCGGTACTTTCAGATTAATCACTGATCCATCTTGATTGTTGCACTGTCTGTAAACATAGTAAAGAAGATTATCAGTTTCTTCATTCCTCTTGTATAGTAGCCATCGAAGTCTGGTGGGACTAAGCAACTCATGGGTAACAATCCTTCTCATTTTCTTCCACTTTTCTCCCCATGGGGAAACTCCCATGGTCAAGAATCCCTGGCTTGAATATTCAGTAGCCATGGTTATAGGCCTTGATACAAAAAGGGAATCATGTTTCTGCAGAAATTCTCGGGCGACATTTGGGGAAACTACTACCATTACATGAACTCTGCCTAGACGGAAGCAGGCTATATCTGTTTTTAGTTTTTTTACTGCTCCATTTATCCATTTGAACGCAGGCTTGTTTGTGTAGACTTCAGGGAGGTTTCCGACTATAGGCCAGGAAAATGGACTTGGTGGGAGTGCTGGTTTTTTGCTTTGGTTCAGGACTTTACCTTTGATGGTGACAAAGATGAGAACGCAAGAAAGGAGGGAAGAAGGCATGAAGAAACTGCTATAAAGCATGGCACTGAATATTTTAGAATGCTATTATGGATGTTGGAATAGCTTTGTTAACTTACCTATTAGACACCATGTGATGTTAACGGAAAAGACCATAACTTTACATCTAATTGGCCTTATTATTTCTTGGCATGTCACTCTCCACATTGACCGACCTCTTATCATCTCCAAAAGGATAATTAACATCAGTTTAAAATTAATCTATTCCAATCAATATTACTATCTATAATTTAATAAATTGCCAGTTAGATGAAATTCCTAACTATACTTTAAATTTTTCGAACTTTAGAAATATAATTTAAAATATTTAGCATTTCAAAAATATGAACTGGTAAACTAATTTCTCATACCAACTTGATTTTTTAAAAATTCTAAAAAGATAAAAATGCTATTTTTTATACCGTAAAAAGGATCATAGTTGGAGCAACAAGGGGAGTACAACGAAGAAACTTGGATATCAAAGAAAGACAATGAGGGAGAAAAAAGTTGTCGCTCAATCTGAAGTTGTTTCTTGCGTTGCGACTAATAAAAATTGGAATACCTTTGACAATGACTATCGTTCCACATAGTGACAAATGGTATGCACGTGTGTGCAGTGGCACGATGAGCATTCTAGTGTTGTATAGCGAAAAGTTGAGAGAGTGAGAGAACATTTACCTTTGACATTTTGTTTAGAGAATTGATTTGTTTAATCGGCGTTTAATCCTTTGTGTTCATGTTGCTTGTTTCTCATTCTTGTTGCATTTGCCACGTGTATTGGGCAATTTCTTACAGCAAATAGTATTAGTGCTCACGATTCATATTATAGGATAATATCAAGGATGATGACAATTTGAAACTTTGAGGAGGAGTTGTGGTCCTAGAGTCGCATCGAGGTGTATCTGTGGTGGTTGAGTCATATTGATTGAGTGTAACCGTCGAGAAGAAATAACGCGAAGATGGAGCAGTGTTGATCAAGTCACACCAAGGATGATGTTTACTATTGCTAAAGATAGTGAAGAAGTGATCACGACCCAATTTATGTCTAATATTAAGAAGGTTGAAGTATGTAGTATGAAAAAGAAAAACCATAAAATAAGGTTCGATAAGTCTTTGAATTCGATTAATATCTGAAGAATGGAGACACCAACCAGTAAAAAGTACAAAGATGGTTATTACAACGTACCGTGATTTGAGAACTATATTTATAATTATAAACAGTAAAAGAGAATAGGAAATTAAAATCCCATGCATTCTAGGTGGGGTCTAAAAACCCCACTCAGATTCTGATGGTTTTACACCTAAAAGACATATGTCGTCATTTGGAGAATTGATCCAAGTTGGACATTGTAAAAGTTGACCCAAATTTATGAAATACCTAATTGAAGGTCAGTGTGAAACATATGCACCGTTTGGAGTAATTTTTACCTCGAAAAATTGATATTTTGACCGTTATTTCATTATTCTAGCTATAATTTTTGACTTCTTATCTCATAAGTGGCCCATACTTTTCTTCTAACGGTCAAAAAATCAATTCTAAAAATCATTATCGAACAGACCCATAATGCAGATGATGGACTTGTGCATAACATAATTATCTATAATCATTCATTATTTGGAGAAACTTTGCAACCAAATGATTACGTAAAGAAAAAGGTACACGGGACAATACGCCCAGATATAAAAGGATGTTGGCAGGATTCACCAGCAAATGTATTGTAGAAAGGTAACATTGAAGAATAAAGGAGATTGAAATGTCGAATTTGGTGAATAGTAGAGGAGAAGAGGAGAGGGAATTCTATGGAAGAGGTTTCCCAATTTTCAACTTCTATTCCCCTGTTTTTCTCTTGGCCACATGTTCTTTAGGCCAATACAAAAATACATATTCTAACCATAATTTAACTTGAATTCACACATAAAAAATTAACTGTGGTACAGTTTAGCTAAAGTTACTTCAATGCACATTAATCATAACATTCTCCCCCTGAATGTGCTGCCCACGGTCGGCCCTGAGAATTTAGAGGCCCTAGACGTTTAATTAATATGTGGCCCCTCAGCACAAAAATTTATTTTACAAATCTAACAATATGTAAATATTTAAATAATTAACACTTTTATATTAAAAAGAAAACTTTATACAATTCAAAAGATGGAATAGCAAAATAAAATTTCTTTCACAACCCGAAAGATTAGGCTAGCATAAGATTTAACCTTCTCACATTTTGAGATGTAAAATTAGTAATCAAACTACTAACATCAAGTTTTTCCAACATATTTTTTTCAATAGAAATCATAGCTAATCCATTCAATCGCTCTTGTGACATGGATGATCGAAGATAAGATTTAATCAATTTCAACTTCGAAAAACTTCTTTCAGCAGAGGCAACTGTGACAGGAATGGTCAATAATACTCTATAAGCAATCCAGGCATTTGCAAAACAACAATTCATTCTCTTAATGTAATCCAATACATCAATTGCTCCAAATATGTTTTCAGATATCGCTTCCCTTAAAATTTTCAACTCAGAAAATAATTCCGTTCCATCAATATCAGAAATTGTATTATGCTTTAAGTAATTTTTAAGTTTAATGCAAGAACGCTTCAAAACATCATCATCAATAAATTTAAGTCTTTTCAAATCAAATAAAAATCCAAAAAATATCATCATATTTCTGAAATTGCTCAAATCTATTCTCAAGTGATGATAGAGCTTGATCCACTATATGTAAGAAATAATTGATCTTAAAAGATTTTTCAGCTGTTTGTGTTATCTGTTCAGAAGAAGTATCATCAAACTGCTTTTTTCTATGTATAACCCGTTTTTCACGAAAGATCGATTCAATTTCTAATTCACTTGCAATCTCTTTAACATCTACCATGGCCGATTCAAAACCAGATTCTCTATAACTTTTGAAAAATGAAATGAGTCCTTTTAAATGGTCTATAGCAACATCAATATGCATGTCTTTCGCTTGCAAATGTTTGCTTACTCTGTTAACATTATTCAATACTTCATACCAAATAATCATCCCAAGTAAAAATTCAAAATTGTCAATTTCAGATGTTGCCAAACACTCCGCCTCACTTTTTGTCTTAGGATCATCAATATTTGCTAATTGAAGTAACGCTTTTTTTATCTGCGGAGTTTGAAATCTTATCGCTCTAACACTTTCAATATGACTTTCCCACCGAGTTTGTGACAAGGGCTTAAGGGTGAGACCAGTTACATTCTCTTTGAAAATTTTCCACCGTTTAGTAGATGAAGAAAATAAAGTGTATATACATTGCACCACTCCAAAGAAAGATTTAGCTTTTGAACAACAAGTGGCCATATCACAAAGTGCAAGATTAAGACTATGACATCCACAAGGACTGTAGAATGCTCTAGGATTTAGTTGTAATAATCTACTTTGAACTCCTTTATGTTGTCCTTTCATGTTAGCACCATTGTCATAACCTTGACCCCTTACATCATCAATATCAAGTTCTAAATTATTCAAAGCATCCACCAGTTCATCACAAAGTCCCTTACCTGATGTATCATCCACCAATAAAAATCCTAAAAAGAATTCTTCAACCTTCACTAGACTTGCCGAAATATTTACACACCTCAATATTATAGACATTTGTTCTTCATGACTTGTATCTGGAGTGCAATCAAGAATAACAGAAAAGTATTTAGAATTTTTGAGTTTCTCAATGATTACTTTTTTTATCTCGCCTGCTAGCATAAGTATCAGCTCATTCTGAATTTTGTATCCTAGATAATGATAATGAATCTCTTTATTTTTTATTCGACGAACATGCTCTTGCATCACAGGATTGAACTCAGCAATCATTTAAATCATGCTTAAGAAGATACCATTATTTTCTTGATATATCTTCTCATTATCCCCACGAAATGCTAAATTATTCTCAGCAAGAGTTTTCACCACAGATATTATTCTCAATAATACTTGTCTCCAATGTTCTCTATCTCTATTGATTTGTTCTTGCACACTTTTATCAATTGTTTGACTCTTTTCGAATCTTAATTCCATTTCTATCCATTTACTCATGTTATTGATGTGGTCACAACTTACTTCATGCATTTTAAGCTTTTCACCAATATTTTTCCAATCATTTACTCCATCATGTGCCAATTGAGTTCTGATCCCATCATTCTTAAATAGCTTACAACAAAAGCAAAATACTTTATCCAAACTTTTTGAATATATCAACCATTTTCTATCATACGTCTCTTCATTAGGTAATCTTCGAACGTAATATATGGATGAGAAGTGTCAATTTGCTCTATCTTTCGGAAAAATCATATCATGTTCTCTTATAGGACCTTTCAATACAATTAAATCTCTTAAATTCGTATTCATATTTCCCCAATTTGCTGGATCAATAAGGTTGAGAGAAAATGGTTCATTATCTTTGTCAGTAGACACCTCTTCATTCATCACACAATGTCCTTCCTCAATTGTATTATTTTTGTTATCATTCTCGTTAAACACTTCTTCAGTAACTACATCTTCATTATGTGTTCGTTTACTACTGCCAAAAAACTTATCAAGTGCCCCTTCTTGAGATTTAATCAATTTTTCAATCTTTTTCTTTCTTTTTCTTTTGGCACATCCAGATTCAAATTTTCTTGTAGACATAATAATAAGCAAAGAGCGATAAAACCTGATTGATAAGTCCCCAAATTGAAAGGATTTTGAAATTGGTTGTAGTGGTGGTCGCGGTGGTGCTTGAAGTAGACAACGCGGCTGTTCCAAGTTGCGATTGAAAATGCAAAGTCTGAAAAAGTGGAGCAAAAATGGAGCAAAATAAGAATTCATTACTTGTATAGTTGTATTGAAATAATATCGAGAGAGGGCACTAAAATTCTACTGCCGAAAAATCAAAAATCAAAACTTATATTGAAATAACATCACCACTAATTACTAAAATCCTACTCCTACTGGCTACTGTCGAAAAAATGGAAGAAAAAGGCTAAATTTGATACAAAGCAAGTGCCTAAATGGAAGAAAAAGGCTGAATTTGATACAGAGCAAGAGCCTTGCTTGTCTCAAAGTTGTCACACAATTTGCTCTAGAGTGCCAGCAATGAAATTACGCAAAGCAAATCTACAAGGAGATGCCCTCTATGACGTCTTCTTCAAAAAAAAAAAAAACTAGTCTAAGATAAAAAAAAATAAAAATTAAAAAAAAATTAAAAAAAATCAGATATAGTAGCAAGAGTTATTTGGTCATTTCTAGCAGAATTTGAGGATGCAAAAGCCTACGAATTACGAAATGATATTAAGAAATATTCAAGAAGTTCGAAATATTTTCTTCTGCTGTACAGATTACCGACACTCAAAACCATGAAAATAATATTACAGGTCCTGCCATGGCTGTTTCTTTCTACATTCTAGCACTTAACAACCTAAACATGGGCTACAAATTCGTGTACTGGGGCAAATGTACAACTGTACAACATAAATTCTTGTTGGATTTTGTTTATTATCATAAATGGACATGATTTCTGATTACCAGAATGAAGGGAAAATTTTAATAAAGTATAATACAGTTTTGATAAAAAAAATTGACGCCCAACCTGTGGATTTCACACCTGAGGATTTCGCCCAACCTGTGGATTAATTTTGCCTTCTAGATCGGAGTGCCGTTTGTGGAGAAGATGAAGAGAAGACACTAATGGAGAAACTGAATGTAGTCCGCCAGTCCGTTTGTTTTCCTCTTTTATGTGCATACTTAAATTTTTTTTTTTATTATTTTTTTAATGAAGTGGACGATTTTGGGCTTTTTAGAGGCCCCTAAAATATGAGGCCCAAGGCAATGGCCTCACTTGCTTTGGGCCAGGACCGGCCCTGGTGCTGCCCTTGAACTTCTAATGCTTCTCTCAGTTGTCGAAAATTTTCGTTTGGCAAACAGATTTGCAGAACATCAACTTCACTTCTTCAATTGCATCTCTGATAAAAAGTGATCCTTGATTGTGTGTCTGGTTCTGCTATAAGAAATGTGATTCTTTGTCATTGTTATCGCTGATTTGTTGTCAAAAATATTTCCATGGCCTCCATTTTCTTTTCACCAATATATCTTCAAAAATTCTTTTCAGCCAAAATGCTTGAGATGTGTCGAGTGTAGTTAAAATAAAGTCATCTTCCGCTGATGATTGAGCAACTGATTGTTGCTTCCTCGAGGATCAAGAAAATACACTTGGTCCAATATAAAATGCATAACTAAAGGTGCCTTTTATATCGTCTACACAACCTCTTCAATCACCATCACAGAACCCAATTAACTTCACTGGAGAACTTTTGAAATATTGAATTCCATAACTTTTTTTAGTGCTGCAAAATGAATGTTACCTGGAGAATGCATAAAACTTGAAAACATGTTTGCTGCAAACATAATATCAACTTTTGCAGCTGTAAAATACAAGAAGTTTCCAATGAGACTTCTATAGAGAGTAGCATCCACCTATCTTCTTCCATCCTCTTTCATGAGTTTTTTATTTACAACCAAACATTCTAAATTTTTTCAGCATATCTCTTTTGTGAAATAAATACCACTTCTACATCTTCATAAACTTGAATTCCCGGAAAATGACGTAGTTTTCCCAACGATTATTCATTTCATACTTCATTATCATTTCTTTCTTAAAATTTTCAATCATTTCAGAATTGTTTCTTTTCAGCACAAATCATCAATATAAAATATCAACCACTCTCTGTCTTTTCCCATATAACATAGCCTCACTTTTGCATTTCTCAAATCCTTTTTCTACAGAGTAGCTGTCAATTTCACTATACAGTACCATGCTATAGATGCTTGTTTCAATCGACATGGCACTTTCTTTAGCTTGTACACATTTTCATTTTTCAATACTATCATGCATTTTTTTTAAGTTTTTGAGGATCAACTTGCTAATGGGATAATAGATGACGGACCAATGCAAACTTACCAACAGAAAAAAAAAGTAGATAACTAAGCATGTGTTTGACCCCCATTCTTAACTAATTTTAATGGATGAAATAGTGTTTTTTTGAAAAATGTGTGGTTGAAAAGGAATGAAAAGTTTTTGATTTGTGTGTAGTATTATTTTATGGAAGATTGTGTGATTGAAAATAGGAGAGAGAAAAAGAATGAGAATGAGAATGAGATAAAAATGGAGGCCAAACACATGCATATGACGCTAAAAACTCGGCATCTATTGGTCCTCGAAGTTAGCGAAGTCACTAGAAAGTAGAAAACAGCAGAGTTCCTCACCAAGTAGAAAACTGCAACATTCAGTACTTTGTATTTTGGGTTTCTCTATTTAATTTAGGGTTCCGTGATAAGAGGTATAGTCTATTCTGTTATAACTTGACTATTGTTTTCATAGTTTTGGGATGTGAAATTTGATGTTTAACACGTCTCATAAATGGTGGCTTGCTTGAAAATTCCAATCTTTGCCCATTTAATTTTTCAAGCTTTGATATCGTACAGTCTCTTGATTACCATCTTAAAAATAAACCTTGTTAACGGAATAGTCCGAGAAATTGATTTGTTTTTGTCCAAGGCGGTATTTTTCCATTAACATTCTCTTCATAATTTTTATGGGAAAAAAAATAGAAACTGAAACAAAATACGATTTTGAATGGTGGGTTTTTACAGGTATTTGGTTTTGAGCAAGTGAAGAGTCCAGAATTTGAATTTGAATTTGATTTTATATGGTTGAAGTTGGGTTCATCCTTTTATCTTCACCTCATAGAGAGGGATCCCAATTCAAAACTTCCCGAAGGACCATGGAGTGCCACATCAGCATTGGCAGACCCCAAGAATCTCCCCAGAGGTCACCATATCTGCTTCTCTGTGTACAATTTCGACTCCTTTATTCAGAGCCTTAAGGTGCGGTTATTATTGATAAACATTCTCGACAATTATGATTATATATATCCCTGATGCAATCAATTCCTATTTATGAATATAGACATCGATGTTAGATTTGGATTCAGGCAATTAGTATTGTCTGGCATAATTTATAGAAGTATAGTCAAGATATAGAATAAGAAATTTATTAGGATTAAATTTGGACGGGATTGTTATTTTGGTAATATGAGTATTTCGTCTTTATTGTTTTCTGGTGAATGCAACGGAGGTTAGCTGTCCACCATTAGAAATCTAGTCTCTCTATACCTGACTATGTATTCTGAATTCGAATGGTCGTTTTTGAACTCTTCCAGGCTGTGCACATTTTACAAGTTAATGTGTTGCTTCAGATTGTCAAAGAATTTGTGTTTGAAGTAAGAAAATGAGTGCTTTAATTAAGGATCATGCTGAAGTTTTGTTGGCACTTGAGAGTTTAGGCTATTCGGGCTCATGTATGAAACAGTTCAGTGTAACTTTTCGTCACGTTTCTTTGGTTTGAATTTGGAAACAATCCAATGAGAACTAAATCCTCAAAATCAACTGCTGTGAGATTTTCAACCACCTCTCTTCAAGTAGGTAACTTTCACGGTACTTTGTTGGTAGTCAAGAAGGCCTAGTTAGTTAGGTGTCTTGTCTGAATTTGATTATTGGCAAATCCTTGCTAAACCACACTTGCACAGAGAGAGAGAGAGAGAGAGTTTCTTCTTATGCTTGGACTTCCAACATAGCTAGATCCTTCACTCAGTCAATTTGAGATGAAGTTTGCATTTGGGGCTTAGTTCATATGCATGTCGGCTGTCTTTAAGTTTGAAACTCTGCTCTTTGTTAATGGAAGGAAGCCTTCAGATCTGAAAAGTGCATAATTTACACTAATGTATGCTTTTGCCTTGGTGTAAAGAAGATTCATACGGAACATTGTTTTGTATATTGCGTTCTTCCGGTTTAGTTTACCAGAGTGTTTTGAAACCTTCTAGTTTCTGTAATAATGTATACAGTTCAAGCTGTAGCCATACCAGATGAGAAGTTAGAAACTCCAGCAACATTACCTTCCTTGGACATACTCCAGCTAAATCCATTGCTCTTACTGCATTATCGTCCTTCCAATATACAAGTATTCACCTCCTTTTGGATGATGTGTATGATGAAGGTCTTTATGATTCAGAATTTATAGTTACATCTTCATAATTTTAATATCCTTGGGGCTAGTCAGGATGAAGAATATCATAGAACTTTCACAATTTACATCATAGGCAAGTCCAAAGAGACTGCTTGGTTTAATCATGCTGCAGCTTGTTTGATGTTGTGAAATTGCCCCCACTGAATTTCGAGAACTTTCAAATTTTTCCCTTCCATGATTTCAGTTAATTTTTCCTTCGAATTTGTAGCTTAATCATCAACTTCTTGTGGAGAAATTGAAACTTTACTCAATGGTGCAGTGGAAATTATGAAACAAAGAATATCAAAGAAAGTGACGAAGCTCAATGTGTAACGACTCGGCCTCTATAGCCAAGCCATTAACTTATGTACTGTCCACTATGGAAGAGTCCGAATCCATCTTATCCCATCACGGATTTCTGTCAAGTCCCCGTTATTTGAACCTTTGACATTTCCTTTAAAATAGACTTAAGTTGAATCCTGGTAACAATTGAACAATTTCCCTTGCATTTTTTGTAACGACCCAGGCCTCATTCCCAAAGGCACTAGGATTCAACTTAAATCCATCTTAAGGGAAATGTCATGAGTTCGAATCTTAGAGATGCTACAAAATGGGTAAGATGGACTTAGGCTCGCCTAAAATGAATAGTACGTAAGTTAACGGCTTGGACATAGAGGTCGAATTGTTACACAAAGTCTTTTGTCGGAAATAATGAACAACCCCCAAACAGTGAAGCAGTCTTTTGTTTTACTCAACTGCAAAAGAAAGCAAGCAGCAGAATAAAAATAGCCCTGCAAAATAAAATTAAACCCAGCAGCAAGTTGCATGGTCCAATTCCTGCGTTGTGATTAATTGTTTGCCTTCTGGTGTTTGCCTCATGTGTAATGAACCTATGCCTCTGTATCTGCATCACTCAACCACCTCTGTCCAATGCCCTTCTTTCACTATAACATCTTCTCTTGAGTTCTGCTTTACTGAGCTTGGAGAAAACACATCTGCTGTTACAAGTGTTGTTAGTACAAGAGTTGAGGCCACAAGATTATCATTATATCTCTATCTCTAAATCTTCGAATTGGTGAGGAAATATATATACACCAAAATGGGGGTGTTTTTTGGTGAAAAGATATCTAAGAACTTGAAATATGCCCACATAGCATGTAGATTCTGAACACATTACATGCAACACGTGTCTACGACTGTAAAACCGGTCCATCTGCAAGTCAGCCATCATCAATGCCCAGTTGGTCGATTCTCGGGCTGGAGACTACTCTCTCCATTCCAAGTCCCACTGCTCACTCCTACAGCCAATACCAATATACCATCCAACTCCCATTTCTGAGTATCAAACAAAATCCCTTGTCCCAGCGGCACAACCACTGGCGCCATTTTTGGTAGAGTATTAAGAAGTCTCTATCTCCCAAATATGATGCCACTGTTCGACTATCCCTGACCCGGTTGTCACTTTTCCCTTGACCCGAGTGCAAAAATCTGCTTCACTCACTAGAGTCGTTGATTCTAATTCCTTTGTCACTGGTTCATCTTGCTACTTCCATGAACAAGGCTTAGTTTGTTGTTGCTATTTATATAAATTGAAAAACAAGCTGAGGGCTTCTTGGGGGGAAATCAAAGAAAGGGAGTTCCTGTAGGAAAAAGAGAAGGATGAAAAAGAGCTAAACACGAGTTCACATTTTCCATTCTAGTTTTATTAAGATTTGCTTCATCTTTCCTAGCAGGAAAAAGGAATTGAGGTATATGAGAGGGCACACCCAGATGGAAAGACCAAGCAAGCATTTTTCTTTGATCCAGATGGTATGTTTTCCTTTACAGTATTGGTTCTAGACTGTCGTAGCCCAAGAAACAGATTTGATTGTATTCAATGTCCAAAAACATTAGAATCACGGTTTTAATTTGTTCCATTGAATTATTGCTCTGCAGGGAATGGACTGGAGGTCTGTAGCCAGAGCTCCGTTCAATAAATTTGGTGCCCGTCTAAATGCTGGATATACATGCTTGTCTGTGTGGTGTAATGCAACCATTAAAGCCCATTGGTTGTTACGTAGTACATCTTGAATGGCAAACTACTTTATTTAGGGGTATATGAATACCTATTTTGGTGTCTTTTGGTCATCAAATTTGCTGTACCATAGTTTATCTTCAGGAAAGAAATATGTTGTAATAAATGGCCATGGTTAATCTATAGTTATTGTAGTATGAAATTTATTGAGACGCATTGGTAAGGTGGAGTATTAAATAAGAAGGAAGTGTTAAAAATTTCATTCATTATATGTCATTGTATCATTTACGCTTTAATATCGTATCCCGAATAGGCGCACACTGATGATTCCAGAAATGCGATAATCACAGGTATAAGATGTACAGAACAAGAAAACTTTGTCTTATGCCCAACAATAGTTGTACAATTAGCATATTTATGAGTGAATGGTTACATTATATTTGAAGGAATACTCGTCAGGTCTAGATGCCTTGCTCCTTTACCTGTTAGTGAGTTTTACATCTTTTGCTAGCAGATATACTTTTCAAGATTTCACGGCATGTCATTGGTTAACATAGTACTCGTAGATCTTATGAAATATACGAATAAAAATGTGAACACTTACCACATAGTTCAGGCACGTTTTATGTATACATAGAGAACAAACCCCTATATTTGTAGGAGAAGATCTAAAAGAAGTGCCATGTCCCCAAAAAAAAAAAATAATAATAATAAATAAATTTGCCTGCTATGCTGAACGCCCAATAGACCAAGGAAACAAAAATAGTAACAGAAATGATCCCACAAAGCATTGAGCTTTGATCTCATATATAGACAGAAGTGTCACCCGGCTTTCATCCTTAAAGATATAATAATGTCAAGAAGGTCCTCCGCCTCCTCTTTCTCACCATCTCTCCATTGTTTAACCCTTTATTGTATGATTGGATCATGGTATTTTTCGAAAATACTCATGGAGTTTTTTATGATCTTTTCATGGCCTTCAATATCTAGACTTCTCAACCAGGTCGCATAATCTGCAATCCAAAATGCATACATGTTGTGGAGCACAGAATAAAGAGCATCAACGTAGTTCTTTTCTTCAAAACCTGGACCTCCGTTTTCTCCACCTTCCCCAAAGAATCTTCTGCTAAAACTCATCTTTCTGATCGCATTTACGCTATAATGTTGAAGCGGTACTCTCAGATTTATTACTGATCCATCTTGATTGTTGCATTGTTTGTAAACGTAGTAAAGAAGATTATCAGTTTCTTCATTCCTCTTGTTAAGTAGCCATCGAAGTCTGGTTGGACTAAGCAACTCATGGGTAACAGTCCTCCTCATTTTCTTCCACTGTTCTCCCCATGGCGAAACTCCCATGGTCAAGAATCCCCGGCTTGAATATTAAGTAGCCATGGTTGTAGGTCTTGATACAAAAAGGGAATCATGTTTCTGCAGAAATTCTCGGGCGAGTTCTGGGGAAACTACTACCATTATATGAACTCTGCCCAGACGGAAGCAGGCTATATCCGTTTTTAGTTTTTTTACTGCTCCATTTATCCATTTGAATGCAGGCTTGTTTGTGTGGACTTCAGGAAGGTTTTCGACTATAGGCCAGGAAAATGGACTTGGTGGGAGTGCTGGTTTTTTCCTTTGGTTCAGGACTTTACCTTTGATGGTGACAAAGATAAGAATGCAAGAAAGGAGGGAAGAAGGCACGAAAAAAAACATGGTGAATGATATTAGGAACTTGGTGCAATTCATGGAATTGTAAGGGGGTGCAAATCAAGGTTTCATACACCAAAAAGTGGGAAGCTTCCAAAATTCATACCTTTAACTGTTATGCCCTAAGTCCAATCAATTTTGAACATAAAAACTTTTGATATATAATTAATGCAATATAATGACAAATCTATTAGTTAATTAATAGACAATTAAATTAAATAATAGAGTCTGTAGATTCAAATTTTCGTAATTTGTTAATTATAAGGAGTTGTGAATGTAAAATACAAATTATACATGATTGAATCTTAAATCGTCCGTGATCATAAGTAATAACGAGATACGGATATCATTATTACAGATAGATCGTCACGTGTGGCATTTCTTACTTGTGAAGTAAGCAGCTGATCTCACAAGTTAAAGTGAGGTGACACTTAAATGAACATGTGGATGTTTTGTTATAGAACAAACATTAGAGACCCGCCGAGAGATTCCACAAGGATAACTATCTGAGTGTCAGTGGTTAATCGCTAACGTTCAGTAGTGGGGTTGGTCCTTTTGACTCGAGGTCGTCATAGTACCTTATATGAGGACGGTCATGCTTTGATAGTATTGGATGTTGCTCTGCCAAGGGCCGCTAATACGGCATCGTTCGGGTATGTTAAGAATCATATGAAGGTTGTGAATGACCAATAGAGGATTTGTCACTCTTGGATAGTAAGAGATTATGATCTGCGTTTCATTTAATTAAGTCGATAACGAAATCCTTGGCCAAGGTATACTTATAAGTCGAAAATGAGTTTTCGATTTATATTGACTTAATAGTGGAGTGAAAGATATGATCGATAATCAAGATTGATATACTTTCATATCTCGTAATTGATCGGATCATATTGATAAATGGATTATAGTTTCACGGTAAACGAACAAGTTTGATTTTGTCATATCACGTAATATTTCTTGTTATATGTATTGTCCTGACACATTGCTAGATGTTAATTTGGGATGGCGAGTGTGATTGGTGATAAATTAAAATACCATTTTCACATCGTTAGGCATCATGATCGGGAGCCTGATGAGTCGCACACAAAAGAGAATTGGAAGATTGCAATTTATCAATTAATTAATTTAACAATCGTTGGATGAATTAATTGATTGGGTTGGTTATTTATAGGCCCGAATTAATTAATTCATGGACGGGATTTAATTAAATGAATTAATTAAATATTGGATCGGATCAGGCCAAGCCCGTTTGGGCCTATATAAATACATGGCTAGAGTTTTCAATCGATATAGTTTTCTCATATTTTTTCTTGCTAGTACAAGATGAGAAAACCCTGGTAGCTGCAATCTGTTCTCTGTGTGAATCACCGTTAGAGGCTGAGCAATTGGACAGCTTTGGGTGGCAGATCAAAACTGCTGGAACAAGGGAAAAACAAAGAAGTTTGCAGATAAGGAAAATGTATCACTTTTATCATAATTTCTATTTAAACACAAAAATGAATCCTGGCGGGAATCGAAATATGTTTTAATTTTTCGTTGTGTATGTTAAAAAGATTCCCAACACTGGTATCAGAACCAACTTTGTGTTTGTTAGGAATTGATTTACATATTATTGAAATCAAAAGTTGATTTATCATGTTTTTCTTGAATCTAGCAATTTAAAATTATTTTTCATTTTCAAAATTTTGTTTTGAGAAGAGAATAATTTTGGATCATTAAAAAAAAAAGGATGGATGTGGCGGACACGACGGTGGCAAACGCACCACCCAGGCCTAGGCGTGCTGCTGCGCGCTTGCAACAGCCGGCAGCAGCATCACGTCGCTGCTATGTCGGCGCCTGGAGAAGAAAAAATTTTAAAATTTTAGGGTTTCTGCATAAATCAGCTGACTAATTTGGAACAAGGGCCTGTGATGCAGATTTTGAATTTGCTGGCCCGTGGTTGTAATTATCTAGAAAGGGGGTCAAATGCAATTTTTAAAAGGAGGACTTATTCTGTAATTTGTGAGTTATGAAGATCCTGATTATAATTTCTTTTGGGTCAAAATGCAATTCATTTTGGAAAGGGATTTAAATGCAATTTTGAAAAGTTTTAAAATTGATTTAAGTGGGTTTGACCAGTTTTTTCAATTTTGACCCAGATTTAAAATTTTATTTAAAATTGACGACTTTTATATTTTGGTTAAAATTAGATTTTAACATAAATATTAAACTTGATTCTAAATTGAATTTTATTTTATTTAGGAATGTTACCCTAAATTAACATATTAATTCAATTTAATTTAGAGTTAGACTCTAATTTAGCATTTAATTAAAATTTGATTTTAATTAATCATTCGCTCCAAATATATTCTAGAAATTAGAATTGGATTCTAATTTAACATTTAATTAAAATTTGATTTTAATTAAATTGTGTCACCCTAACATTCTTCTCGAAATTAGAGCTGGACTCTAATATGATATTTAATTAAAATTTGATTTTAATTAAATAAGTTCGCCCTAAAGACGACCTTAAGTTTTGTAATTAGAGTTGGACTCTAGTTTGATATTTAATTAAAATTTGATTTTAATTAAATAATTTCGCCATGTAATAGTGGAATTAGAGTGGGACTCTAATTCGATATTTAATTAAAATTTGATTTTAATTAAATATGCCCACTAATTTAATTAATTGATTAATATGATTAATTAATTATTTAATTATTCTGATCCATTTGTCTAAAAGAGTTTAGACAATCTTAATTGCAAGAAACTTGAAACTTGTTTGCATATAATATTAGATATTATATAGGCATACATTTATGTGATGAATGTATTATTAGTGGACGATTATGGACTCGACCATGTGGATATGTTGAATGGTTAATTTTATTCTTATCGTTTTATGAGCCTGCAAGCTGCCTGCGAGCCTGTTATTATTATGGGCCTGTGAGCCCGTTATTATTATAACTTGCGAACTCTTAATCATTTTGGACATGTGATTCCGTTATTTTTATTGTTGCTATGGGCATGCGATTCCAATTTCATCTAGGCTTGGGTGCCAACTAGTATAGGATACATGTTGTAATTGGACTAATTGAAGACACACGAAGAAAAGGAAACCATGAAGATGGTGCATTGATACTGATCAATGTGATACCCCTAGGAATTGACCAGCCAGTTTTCCTTATGGCTCGAGAAGACTAGATAGTAAAATCCATAATCGTCCACACTATTACATTATTTAATATATATGTTTATTTGCATGGTAGATGTATAATAAAATATATATGATTGTTACGATGAGATCTTTGAATACAAAATCCCTCAATAAAATATTAAGTCACATTTATTATTCGTCTTTCATTATTATAGTGAAAAACTAGAGTCCCAAATCGTCTCAACTTGTTGAGTACACTCAAGGCTGGTCTATTAGGGATATGTTTGACACTATGAAATATTTGATATTTCTGAATGACGGGTTTGTCTTAACTAAAAATTTATCTTTTTTTGAGTACACTCAAAGAGATAAACTTTAGAGGCACGTTAAGCTAACACATAAGATGTGTGAAGACAAAGAGTTGTCGGT